CTTGCCACCAACGTCACTCCAGCCCACAATCATTCCACTGCAGAACACAACCCACATGTTCGGCTCCTGCTACGGGGTTCCCGATCAAGTTCCGACTCCTTAGGTAGGTACTCTCTCTTGGAAATGTAAAATGGGGTTCTGTAGTGAGCAGTAAAGCTAACTATCAAATGAGAAATATAACTGGCAATCCAGTTCTTATGTAGTTCTGTCATTCTAGATCGATTTAGAAAAGGGTTGGCTTACACAAACTGCCTGTTGTAGTCTCTCGTATATATCAAACAGTAAAATTGGTCTTTTTAACAAAGCAATGAATTGCAAAGAGGGAAAAACCATCTTGAGCACATTCTTCACAATTGCTGTCATTGATTAATAATAGAATAACTAAAGGCAGAAAAGAGAGATGTCACTTAACCATCAAACATACCACCTCCTCATGGTGACCAGTTCCACAACATTTAGAGAAGCCTGGAAGGAAATTCTCATCCCTCTAAGTTGGGAATGTGACTGGCACAAGGAGGCCTGATAAAAAGTTAAGCGAAGAAAATTATTAGAATTACTCAATAAAAGAACTCCTGTAATTGCTGACCTATACTGAAGCAATATTTCTGTTTTAAAATTCCCACTGTTTTCAAATTTTTCCATGACCTCACCTCTCCTTGTCTCCATAATTTTTTCCAGCTCTACAAGTCCTTCAAACCTTGCCTTGTGAACATCCTCAAATTTCATTGCCCTACAACTGCAGCCATGTCTTCAGATGCCTGGGCTCCAAACTCTGGAACAAGAATGAAGTCGCTGGAAAAACTCAGCACGTCTGGCAGCATCTGTGAAGGTAAAAAACAGTTAACGTTTTGGGTCCGATGACCCTTCCTCAAAACTGATTCCAAACTCTGGAATTCCTCTCCAAATCTCTCTCACATTTTCTTCCTTTACTATCTAAATAAAAACACCTTTTTGTCAAGTTTCCAGTCCTCCAGCCTGATATCTTTTGTGGTTTAGTGTCTTTTTTCACATAATGCTCTTCTGAACTGCTATGGGACCTTACTTCATTAAAGATGCAATGTAAATGCAAGTTTTTTTGGATGATCACATAAAACTTACAGCACTGACAGAAACCATATGGTCCAATTGGTTTGTGCTGTTGCTTATACTCCACTTGAGCTTCCTGCATGTCATCTCCCACAATTAGCACATTATTATTTTCCCTTCTTCCCATCTCCTTTCACTTGTACTCCCCGTAAATGTATCTAAGCCAGGGACCTTCATTACTTCATGTGGTATTAAGTTCCACAGTCCCACCGCTCTTTGGGTGAAGACGTTTCTCCTGAATTCCTTATTGGATTTATAAATATTCATCTTATATTTATAGCCTCTAAATTTTGATTCTCGGGAAATGAAATGACTCCTGTATATCTTACTCACACACCTCTTCAACCTTTTTTCTGATTGCTATAACCTCTTAGTTCTGGCATCACTTTTTAAAATCTTTTTTTCCTCACCTATCTTATATCTTCACATCCTTTTTATAATATGGAAACCAGATTTGTGCACAGTATTCTAAGTGATGTAATGCAGAAGTTCTCAACCAAAAATCTGTAGCCCACAAGCAGATTTTTCAGAGGCTCCTCCCAAGACTCCCTGCCTCTGTAATTTAAAAATAAATGTGGATCACCAACATTTACAATATCCAGGTATAGACTTTTATTGCTGAGTGCTTAGTGACCAATCCACACCAGCATCACATCACTTTAGTTCTCAGCTCCACACTGGATAAGAAGAACCAGAAACTATTCTTTAGCACTGCAGGCTCATGGTTAACAGTCCAGCATTGTGTTGTCAAGGAGTTGTCATCAAGTCTCAGCAGGCTAATTCTACTCCAGTCATAAATAACTGACAACTGGAGAAACGAGGTCTGGTGTGGTTATATCATCAGTTCGATCAACAAACTGTCAGTTCCAGTGATGGTCTACCAATCTTAACAATAGTCTGTTTACCCAACTTGAGGCAGGATGAAAATTCAGCATGGTTTTCACTTGCAGATATTGCAGCT